TCCCCTTAAATTTTTTATTTTACCAATTTCATCCTTAAATTTTATTTTATTCATTTAATTATTTTTAATATTTATGAAAATAATTATCATTAGTCTTTTTGTAAATCTTATAGTAAGTTTAAAACAAAATGTTCACGTAACAATTAAAAAGTCTTTGAGGCTAATTTATTAAATATAAAGACTGTCTTTTAATCTCTAAGATTTTTAACCAAAAAATAAGTAAGAAAATTTTTAAACTTTTAACATTCCCCTACCTTGTCCTTCTTCCCGTTTTTGGAAAAAAATTAAATTATCACTTTTGTAGTACCTAAAATTAATCTAAAATATTTATTTTAGTCACTAATATCTATTTTCTTTTTTTAGATCAAATATTAAAACTTCATCTCTAACTCATAATTTTTTCTTGAATTAAATCTATTTATTTTATTTTGTCCTTTGTTATATCAATTTTTTATATGTTTCTAAAATTTTTTACATTTTTTAATGTGATTTTACATACTTTTTTATATGTGTTTTATTCTATTTTTTTATAAATAAAAATGATAATTATGCACTAATCACAAAAAATTCCATAATACATTATATTTCACATTGAGCATGGCCAAGTTAATTGTTTTAAAATACAAGTTTACAACTTTATAACTATGTGTAACTCTCTCTGGTCCTATTTAGTTGTCCTATTCCATCACTTTTATGTAAATTAACTTGATAAATTCAAATGAAAAGTGAAAAACAGCTGAATAGTTTTTTCAATCTAAGTAAAAATATTCAACAATCAACATGTTTAGGAAGAATTTTTTTTTAATTTTCATCTATTTATTATATAAGATTATCAAGTTAAACTTTATGTTGAAATCAAACTAACACAATTAAAACAAACAGGAGGGAATAATACTTTGAGGCACAATTTTATTTTTTTTATATGAAGAGCTCAAATTTGTTTTAGATGTTAACAAAATTGACCCCCTTCCTCTAAAATCGTGGCTCCATCCCTATTGATGCAAATGAAGAAGTGGAACAAATTGAAAGGACAAGGAAAGATTACATCTAGAAAGGGCTACCTCTTAGTTGAGTCTATTCACTCTTGGATTATACTATTACAACTTTCTCTTATATATTTTCAATTTTGGTTACTTGAGATTAGCATTTGGTTGTCAATGTCAATTTTTCTCCATTGTTATAGATTTTTTTTTTTTTTGGAGAGTAAGTGTAAGCACATACCTAATTATGAATTATATATGATAAGGGCTCTCTATTCATCCTAAGATTAGAACTTCCAACATGGAGATAACTATTGGGATGCCCCTAGCTGATTAGCTTAGGCACACACAAACAATCGATATCACCATTCATTAAAAAAAAATGTTTTGTTAAGGTTAATTAAGCTACTTTCCTTATTAACAACAATGTGGTATAATAATGACAGAAAGGAAGATATAGTTTTGATCCAAAAGAAAGGAAGATATAGTTTCATTTTGATCCAAAAGAAGGAAGATATAGTTTTGATCCAAAAGAAAGGAAGATTTAGTTTTGATCCAAAAGAAAGGAAGGCGTAGATGGTAAGGAAGCATCTATATATCTTCTTCCCTCTCTTCCTTTGCTTCTTTGAGATCAAGAGAAAAAAGAAGGCGAAGACATGGTATCTCAAGAGATTTCTATGGATAACCTCAACCCTGGGGATCATATCTACTCATGGAGAAATGACAAGGGCTGTATCTTTGCCCATCACGGTTAATTTCCCCCTCTTTCTCCTTGTCTTTTTCGTTTTCAATATTTTGCAAAAAATTTGCATTGTGCATTTTATGGGCAATTCCTTTCATTATCACCTACCACCATGATGTTATGTTTTGCGAGATTTGATATGTTAATGATGTTGATCAAGCCACATTTTCCTAATTCAATAGTTTTAGTACCTAATGTTGGGATCCATAAAAAATCAAGGATGAAACCTGATGCATAAAATACACACTACACTTAGGCAAGTGAACTTAATCAATTATACAGTATAAAATGAGTAAGATATTGATCCCTTAGAAACTATTCTACACTATTAAGATGATATTAATCTAGTCTAAATTAATTAATTAATTAATTAATTGAATAAACTTGAACTACTTAATCTAAAGAAATTTTCTAAGCAAAAAGGAAACTATGAATGAAAAGGAACTAGAGTTTGGATTTTATTTACTCTAAATTACATAATTGATTAATTAATCTAATTCAAGAGCAAACAACAATGTTATCCATGAGATGGTGGATTTCCCTCAATGAATTAATTAGTTTTTTTAAGTCAAGTTAATCCTTCCCTTGCTTCTTAAATTAATGATATTTATGTGTAATTTAAAATAAACTGGTGAAACCTTTTGCTTAAGAAAGGGAAGCTTCGAACTCTTTTTCTCCTCTTCCATTACCACATGTGACACTAATTACCTCTCAGTCTCATTGTCCAACACATGGTTTATATTGTTATTAGTCTAACTCATGTAATTTTTTCTCAAGTTCATGCATAAATCATTAGATCAATTGAAAAGTGATCAAACTTTCAAAGCATTAAGTTTAACAAAATAAGCTATTATGCAAATAACTAATAGATCTTGAATTAGACTAAAATCAATTACATATTCCAAGAAATAAAATCTATCTAACCCTAGTTCAAGTAATTTAGCCACTCATAATCAAGTTTAGAACAACCATAAAAATTAAAGAAGTAATCTAGCAAAGAAACATTGCAAAATTAATAAGTACAAATGAGAAAAGCAGTCCCCAAGAATAAGAGCAAGCCAAACTGTGCTTTAACTTTTCTTTATTCAATCATGAGTTGCTACTACTGTCTCTGATCCTCTCCACTAGTTGTTGAAGATAAGGCTACCAATGGAATTGAATCAAAGAGGTGTTAGCCTATATGATGGCAACCTAAGAGGGGGTGAATTGGGTTTTTAAAAATTATATGCAATTTTCAAGTGCAAAACAATGAACACTCACAAGCAATTGCAAACAAATAATTTAAAGTGTAAAAGTTAAAAGCTAAGGCAAGAAAAAACTCGAACATGAAGATTTATAGTGATTTAATCATAATTTGTGCCTAGTCCACTCCTCAAACTGCTTGCTTAAGCATTTGCTTTAGCTTCAAAAGCTCTCATCTAACTTCTAGGTGCAGAGGCAACAGTTTGCAATAACTTTGTTAGTGCTATCTACCTTCAACAGTTGAACCCCTTGTTACAATCTTTCACAAACCCAATCTTATACCACAGGGATGGTTTTCTTTAGATCTAACAAGGTTATCCAATCACTCTCCCAATAGCTTATAGGTGCTATTAAACCATTCAATCCACTTATTACAAATCTCTCAACCCTTCCTATATCTCAAGGATGGATTTTTACATTTAACAAAGTTTTTCCAAACCCTCTCTCACTTGTTACAATGAAAGAGAATAGGAACAAGTATAGAAAACAGTTGATTTCTCAAAGAACAATGAAGGAAGCTCAATCTCTCTTGGTTTCTCAAGTTGAGTGCCCTTTTTATGCATTTCTCTGTTCTCCCAGATCTGATTTTATACTTTGATATTGCTCAATCAATGGTTTATGACCATTGGAGCTCATTTGAAATGGATATATTCCAAATAGGGTAAGTAATTCAAGATCTCAACATGAGAGGTTGGAACCTCTATTGTTTTCTTCACCTCATAGTGGGATTTGTGGCTCTACACTCTAAAATTGAGAGTTGAATGTGAAATGTGATAGTTAGGTTCGAGTAGAAACAGAATTATGAAGGGTTTTGAACCTTGTTGTTAGGGGTTGGAACCTCAACCCAAAGTGTAGTTTCTATTTTTGTTAGTCACCATAAATGGAAATATATTGAATAGGTAATCACACAATTAAGTTGACTTTCAATATAAGAGGAAATATATTCAAATAGAATATTTGAGGATTTATGAAAATCCAGTTAACATGGCTAAAAATAATCCAAGTGTATATTTCTATTCACATTTAGTTTTAAATCCATCAAAATCAAGAATAACAAAAGATGGACCTTTTAACGACAACAATGTCCATGTATATATGTATTATACTCTTTTTAGCCCATTATTCTTTTGGGGCTTTTGGATTTGTAGGCCTAAATTGCTGTTAGCCCACAACTTTTAATCCTCTGAATTGAATAAAATTTAAGCCCATAAGCTCCGGCTCTCCTTTGTGAATCCAGCCAGCAATTACTATGTTAGAATTGGAACTTCCAATTGGAATTACCACTTGAATATGATTGAACTGGATTAAGCTTGTAAAAGATGAATTTATAGCTCTATTTCTTAACTCTCTAAGCCTTAAGAATCACTTCAATTTGATATTTGGAGAGAAAATTATGGTAAAAATATTATTGCATATGCTCAAGTTGCCACTAGTTGAAGAATTAATTCTCATTAAATTTGTTTTTTAATCTTCACCTATAAAACAATGAGATTAATATAAATTTAGGTGAGATTAAGTTACAAAGTATACATAAAAGTTAATTTTTAAACCAAAAAATGTATATAAATGTATATAAAAATTAAACTTATCAAAACCTATCCTCTAATACTAGATAAATCACATTACGTTTTAGAGCTGAGGGGTCAAGCATAGATGCGTATGGGGTGAATTGTGGGAAAATACCCAAAGTTGAAATCTTAATGTAGGTCCCTGATAATTGTACGGGAAGTATGAAATCACTAGCAAACTAATGAGATATGAATGCTAAAAATTGATTATGAGGTATGAAACTAGAAGCGAACTTTGGTTCTTGAATTTAATTAATGAAATTTTATCAACGTTTCTTGCTTTTTCCTTCCCTCAATATTTTAAGAATGCAACTACCTTCTTCTTTTCTTTTTCTTTTTTTTTTAAATTTCGCCAAGGATGTAATAAGCTTTAGCTTCTAGCAAAATGAGGCAACAATTTTAAACTAAAACAATTTATCCAACTAGAAAATCTTATAAATTCAGTATTTTAAAGTCTGTGTTTTGAATTTCTTCGGATATTTCAAATTATTCATCCAACAGCAACACAATTACACAAGTGTTGACCACTTGCGGTTTTGTTTTTGTTAGTGGCCTAGTTTAAACGACCTTGGGCTCTACTTTAGTCTGCAGCCATACTTTTCCTAACTTTTCCTGTCATGATGCCAGGCATATATGTTGACGTTGTTGAAGAAAACGACGTCGTTAAAAAAAAAAGGGTGATCCACCTCACCAGTGCAGCGCAAACAGGCTCTGGAACTTCCATAGATCCTTTTATTTCTAGCTCAGCTGCTTCCTCTTCCTCTGCTACAGGCAAACCGTGCGACCGCTGTGGTTATCATTCAGGACTTAGCGGTGTTATTTCTACCTGCGTTGACTGCTTCTTAGGTCGTGATGAACTCTGCCTTTTTGAGTATGGTGTTTCAATTCGTTACCTTCTTACAAGGGGCTCGAGGAGGGACCTGCACCACCGCTTCCTCTGATTTAGAAAAGGTTGTTTGTGATCGTGCTCGTCACCTTCTCAATAAAAATGATGTTGTTGCCCACGGCCTATTCAGTTTTAACTGTAAGGACTTTGCAATCTACTGCAAAACCGGCCAAATTTTGAGCGATTACCCTCTTGGGACTGGGAATCGAATTGGGCACACAATATTAATGTCAGGTGATACGTGGTTGGCTTTCGGCATATCGGGCCCGATAGGCCTGGCATGTTCCCTGGCATCTTCGTTCCATTTGAGCCGGCTGAGTGTAGATCTTTTGCGTGCAAATTCAGAAAAAATTCCAGTGGAAGAACTTGTTTCCCGGTTCCAGTCCAGATGAAACAAATACGGGCAAATGTGCCCAAGGGGATTATTAGTCATTGTCTAAGCTTATTTTCCCTCTCTACTATTGGAACTTGAAAAATTGGTTGTCCTTGATACTTTAATAAAAAAATAAAATTAATATTTAAAATTTTTATTTTTTATATAATTTTTAATAAATAATTTTTTCTACCATTTTTAATTAAAAAAATCTCTCCCTTAACTTTCTTACTCGGTATCTTTCACCAACTTTCTCAAAATTAACATCTTACCAAATACATTACCAAAAAAAATTTACAATTCTAACAAAATTTCATAAAAAAATTTATTAACTTTCAATAAAATATTTTATTAATCATTTTTCCGTAAAACTTTTCACGGTAAAATTGACCTCTATCCTAACCATGGGAAAAGTTGATATATATCTACCGCAGGTATTTTTGCCATTCTAAAAAAAATTTAAATCACTAATATTTTAATTTTTTAAATAGTGTCAAAAAATTAATTTATTGACTAATTTTAATTTATTAATTAATAAATATTAATTATTTTATTAATATTTAATTAATAATTAATATTATCAATTATTTTTATTAATTAGATTTAAAATTAATATTTTTAAAATAATATTTTATAATTCTAATAGTTTTATTATTTTTATTAATAGTCATAACTGTTGCTAATATCTGCCCCATTAATTTCCATCTGGACGGCGCCAATCCTAGTCGGATCCTTGAGGACGTGGCAAACGTTGGAAGCAAGACTCAATTTATCTTGGTTAATTTTAAATATTTTAAATATTTAAATTATTTTTTAAAATTTTTAATTCTTAAATTATAAAAAAAATAAATAGGTTATTTAAATATGTATATTTTAAATGATTAAATATATAAGTGTATAAAATAATTTAAAATTTAAAAATATTTAAAATTAAATATTTTAAAACTAAAAATTGACATTTAACTATTTATTTTTTTATTTTGTATTTTTCACTAGCCCGGTTTTT